TTTTCTTTCCCCCCCCCCCCCCCCCCATCATGTTATACTTCAGCAGATTGTCATTAATTGAAAGAGCTCGCTGGGGCAAAATTTTAACTAGTTCCTGGAAACCTTCATTGTATGTCATATGTGCTCAAGACATTAAGGTGATAACTTCTGCGATGACTGTTGGTTTGTGGGAAGGGAACTTTATGAATATGATTTGAGTAAATTCATTATGATCTAAACATATAGAGTGCAATAGCAAACTTCTAATGGTAATACCATTCCATGAGGTGTTTTGGTACTTAGTTTTCTTTTGACAAAATCATCTTCATACAAATTCTATGCAGAAACTCTGCATGGCAAAATAATTGATGTTTATTTTCACTCTCAAGGAGTCAGAGACATACAGAACCTCATCAAAGGAGTCTTGGCTCATCTCACATCCAAATAGAAGGAAAAGGCAAAAGATGAATGCCTGAATACTGAAACCTCCTTTAGTTAATGGTCCTTTAAGAATACATGGAATCCTATGGGGGGGGGGGGGGGAGAGTTCTTTAAGTTAAAGACACCTATATCTCTCTTAAATGAGGTTTGTGAATTTGGGCCTAACTTTCCAGAAGCCCTAAACTGTTCATAAATTAAAAGGTTTAAAAATTCATCATTGGAATTTTTGTTTCATAGAAGTTATCTGCCAAAGATAACTTCTATGATTCATGGCAGGTATTGGTATTGCAATTCCTCAAACTCCTCCCCATACAATGAAATAAAAGGAACTGTTTAGATATTTATTATGAATTTCATGTGCATGGGAACAACTTGCCATCTGGGAGAAAGTATTCAACAAATATCAATCTATCAGTAGGCCTTGGACTGCACCTTGCTTGTGAACTGCCTATTCAGACTGGAACTTGACATTTTTTTACATTAAGCATCCAACTGATCATATTCACTCTCAAGCTGTTGGTTTTTCTCCAGAATGACAAATGTTCTTTGAATGAAGTCTGCATCTAAATCATTTCATTGCCACATTTCACTCAAGAAGCATCTTGTCTGGCCAAAATATTTAAGATCGACACAATCAATAGAATAACAGAGGCAATCCTTAGTAATAAGCTTCACTGAGACACTTCTACAAGGGAGGTGCTCAAATAAGTTGGACTAATTGGAGGATCAAGTCGTGATCACACAACAGACTGGGATGAAAGATGCAGAACATAATGAGAATCATATCAATTGTTTAAGGTAGCAAGATTCAGGTTTCATATTAAGTGGAAAAATGTTCATGTACCAATTACTCAATAATATTAGATGAAATTCAGTTGTTAGGGAAGAAGTCATATTAAATGGCTAAATGCACATTCCTTGCTTCCAGAGTTATTTGAAACCATTCATGAAGTTAAAGTTCAATCCTCAATTTCTGATAGGTGGAATTAGGAACATTACATAATTCCTCAAGTCCTTCAGCAGTTGCTGTGAACATCAGTAAAAGGCCACTATCTGTCTGAAATGGAATATTACTGGTCTGACTCATATAATGTTAATCATGAACCCTAGCACTAAACATAAAACATTAGAAAGAAAATTCCATAACTGGAAGCACTTCTCCTGCCACATAAAATGCACCATGTCTGCATAATCAAATAGAACATAATGAATA